CAGGGGAGTATGACTCTGCATGTTAATCAGCTAAAGCCCCAGCCATGGATAAGAACGGTGACAAGTAGTACGTGGACCTGTTTTAGGCCTCTTCTCGGTCCACTCAGCCTTAAATTGGCACCTGGGCCGTGTTGGCTTTCAATAGGTACTCGATAACATCAGCAGTCCATAAGGCTAAAGGGGGTGGGATTTGTGTGCGTGTGCAGTTTTCTAGAAACTGAGCCGGGTTCATCAAACTATACAAGTGAAACCACTCTTAAACTTATTTATATATCTAAAATTATTTCGGATTTATTTTTGCCTTGACATCCCAGGTCTGCCCTGACAGAGAGACGAGAAGTTTCACCGGATTGCAAAACTATCGTCCGACCGACTAGTTTTCTCGTTACTGTCTCGCAGTTGCAATGTATTCCACTTGTCACGGAGCTGCTTCACAAGTTATTCCACGAATCCTGGTTTTATCCGCCGTCATGTTCTGCGTAAAATGTGGATGCTAAAGCGATTCTCTTGGCATTCGCTCGACTAGAATATGCCGAATGAATGGAAACCAAATTTGACAAGGTTAGGGGTATATTTTTTTCCCTCGGCATTGGTGACCAGGGCGGAAACCGTGAACTTTCCACACTCAAGGTAATGGTAACCGTAGCAGCCCTGCAAATGTTTGATCACAACACTGCTGGCGCTGGACGGGGCCTCTAGAGAGGGTAATTGGCCTACTCTTCCACGCTCTCCAAATGTCTTGGAAGAGGTGGGAGTTCACTTTTATCCCCTCCGCACGCGAACTGCCGATCGACTGACTGTGGTGAATCCGTTTACACTGCTGGGCGCACAGAGGTGGGGTGGGAGGGCACTTAAGAAACTTGCCCCGTTGTTTCAGCTGCCAAACCAGCGACCCCCGGCAGAGTTTTAACCATTACGCCACGGCCGCAGCCTTCAGTACTGAAGATCTGTTTTTTAATCACTGGTAGCTGCCCAGAATCAAACCCAGGATCTCAGCGGAGCCCTGGACATTGAACTGTCGCTCCTCCGTGCCGAGTGACCTTGGCTTGAACCTCGAATCTTGGAATTGCCAGCTTAATTCTGTGAAATGGCCATAATTTACTCCTCTGAGCATCGCGGCCTCATTGTTTAGGAGCTTATTAGCATCGCTACAGCGAAAGTGTCATCAACTTTGAACAACAAAAAAATATGAAAAGCAAAACGGGGAGAGGAGGTGCTGGCGTGACGAGTGGCAGGATTTTAGTGGCTGCCTGTCGGGATGGAGGCCGCCCTCCTGCCTCCGCGAGTGATGCCACGTCCGCCCAGATTAATGGAAGCTGGCAGCGTGCAGCTGTCTCCTCCCGCCCACACGCACCCTAATGGAGCGGCCCCCAGGTCGGCAGAGATTAAATCGATTCCCGAACCCCCCCCCCCCCCGCCCGCCTCCCTCTCACCCCCCTCCCCTCTCTCTCGCGCCCGGGCGAGCAAGCGGACGAGCAAGCGGGCGGGCGGGCGGGGGCGAAATCGCGGTGCCGATCTCGATCGGCTTAGAATTTAGGTTTTCGTCAATTTCTAAACCCCCGCGCATAAATCTTGAGTTTCAGTGAACATGAACGGAATTTATTCACACGTTTTGTTTATGGTCTGGCATCTAATCCAATTCTATCAGCATGTTTTCCAGATTTGTAAATATATATATGATGCTACCATGGTGTAATGGTTGACGCACGGTGGAAGTCCGAGAATTTGATCTCCTGGTACGGCGGTGGAAAAAAAACTTTGACGTTTCTTAAATCTTCCGGCCTCAGCAGCATAAATGGTGAGCTACACCACTGTCAGTCGATCGACAGGTCGTGTGTGTGATGGGGTAAAGTGTGGGTACTCCCACCTGTTGTGAAATATTTGGCCGTCGTGGAAGAGTAGGCCAAAAATATCTTCTCAAGGGGGACTCTCTTCCTCCCTCTCTCTCTATTGGTGGAGGCTCTTTTTGTAATTTGTCAGGAGTGGCACGAGTAAATAAAGAGCCTTAACCATGATCTTTTACCGACTTTTTTTTTAATATGGTCAGGAAAGATGTGAAGCTATATAAAAAATATATAATAGTTTTACAAACATGTGATTCATAGCTCATGGGACCTCCTTTGGCAGTAGGTCCCATGATGTAGATGCTCACCCCGAGCTCTCATTACTCTGATTTCTTTGGCGTCCTCTGGTCTAACACCGTTTGAGACGAGGCTCAAAAGAAAGCTGTCTCTGGTGTGGACCAATCAGTTTAAAGGACAATGCATATATTATGAGAGTGTGTTTTTTGTTTGCATTCTGACCACAAGTATTGTGGTTAATGCAGACATGATTCCTTGTCAAAAAAGGTTTCAGTTTTGTTGCCAGAAAAAAGGGGAAAAACCTATTCTTACGTGATTCATAACTCTAATCGTGACACCGGTTGCGTTGAGCAGATTGCCCTGTGTTCGGGTAATGTCCTACTTCATTATTGCTAAACACTATGAAGAATGTGTATACTATGCATGCAGTCGTGCATGCAAATGTTCTAATATTTAGTCAAATTTTAAAAAATATGCACGACATGCATGCGTGCGTATGATCAAGGTGATTGAACATTTTTAAGACGATACACAAAAAAACAAATATATATCGTGATCATTTGCAGGCTTGTAATGTACCGATAGTAAAATAAAGGACATATTGACATTCCATATATTTAAAGTGTAGTACTTTTCTAAAAGTTTAACATTTGCGTAGTTTTAGTATCTTGTTCTCGAGACTTTATGGCCAGGTAACGGTTTGTTTGCATGCACGTTTGTGCGTGCGCAATTTTCACTCCAATCACACCTGTTTGAAATTGTTTCCTCCCACAAAGAGTTGTGCCAAATCCACTGTGGGGCAAACCGTTTGTGTTTTTGAAAATTGAATGTTTATGAAAATGCACCGGCAAAACCTTGCAAGAGGCGTGTGGGCGCAGTTGATGGCGAGGGTGCTGGGGTGGTGTCGAATTGGCCTGGGAGAATTGGTTGCCATCAATCAGGGGTCCCCTCCACCCCAGTCCCCTCCACCCCAGTCCCCTCCACCGAACCCCCTCCCCTTCGCTCCTCACCTTCACCGGATCCTAGTACGGCACACCCAGGCAGGCAAATGCCCGTCCCCCCACCCCACGCCGCTGGACCGGGTGTGCCGCATTACCACTGGGCCCTTTCCAATCTTCCCAAAGCCCAGGGCTTATAATGCGATTTCAGTCCAATCGATATCGCGCTCGGCGCGCGCCCGGCCATGGTGAGGCTGCCACAGGACAACGCCGAAAGGTCGGCGTGAGTTTTTTGGGGTATATATATATATTTTTAAAGCATGGTAGACGGTGGCTGGGGTGGCGCTAAAGAGGGAAAGTCAATTCGCTGGTCCCGGCAGTTGTGAGATCGTGGGGGGCCATCGTTCGCAGGGATGCACCCGATGGTTTGTTTGCTCCCTGTCGTGCCGAAGGGCTGTTAAGAGTAGTGGGTGCTGGCAGCACAGATGGCGTGGTTCTGCCCCGCTTGTGCGTGTGCTTAAGCCACGCCGTGCAACGGAGTTGCCGTGAAGTTTTGGCGGTGGCGGGTTAACACGACGCCCAAGTGTTATCTAGCCCTAACTGTGACCTTAACATGGGCCGCGATACTAACCGCGACCCTCATACTTAACCCCAGCACTAAATGTAGCAGTGATCATAACCTTAACTCAACAACACTACTAACCTTCAACCTTTTATTAAACCCTGACCCAGCATTAACAGTTACCAATACTCCTCACTGGAACACTGAACCTTGAGCCTAATAGAAACAGACCGACTCTAATTCTTATGATCCTAACCTTAACCTGTTGCTTATCCCTGGGCTTAACCTTAATGCTGGGTCATGCTCCATCGCCAGTCCTATTTGTAGCTGAAATGCTATCTCAAACAGATGAGCTTAGGGGAAGGTTCTAAAGGCTCAAAGAAAAACATCCCAAAGGCTTGGACAGGAAAAATAAGCAAAATAATATTTACGTGCAGTGCAATGTAGAAAATACATTTTCACAACATGCGATGTGGAAACGTCATCTTCGGGTAAACCGAGATGACGTTGATGTTTTTCTTATTTCGAGTGTCCCTTTGTAGTGTAACATTCATCAGATATACTTTAGTGTGCTGGTGAATGCCTTCCAGAGATAGTGGTCCCAAAATCATCCAATGGCATACTGGGAGTGTTTTTCAGAGTATTGTGTGTGTAATAATAAAAAAGGGCATTAAAAGCATTTTTAGACCTCAATATGTTATATGATTTTATCACGATTGATGGATTGTTATTCGATCGTTGGTCATGATTGCTGTAAGAAAACCTCACAAAAATGTATATTCACAGTACATGGCTTTGAAACCAGGTGTCCCGTGAAAAATATTTCAGGTCTCAAATGAGCTTTACTCGGCCTTAAATCATCATCCTCGTTGCTGTCGTCTCTCCGGAGTCGGATGAAGGCCTCCCTAAGTTTCCACCATCCTTCAATGTCCCACAATGCACTGTTGCAAACGAGATGGTCACTTCACTTCGTCGCTGTACGGAAACTCTTTGTTTTGAATGCTGCCTGCCTCGTCTTTATAACCTCGTCATGCAGTGTAAATTACCCCAAAAGCTTGAAAATCTTGAATACATTTTACGTAATAATCATCGCGGTGTGCAATACGCGACGCATCCTGAAAACGCGCCGGAGAGCAATTTGTCCGGACGAGCGAGTGAATATTGAAGACTTCACCACAGTTCTGGCAAATGACCGATGAAGCTGATTGTAAATTACCAGCGAAACGTCATACTCACATTGTGCTTGAAGTAGCAACAAATTGGCACGTTTTCTTTTTGCGTTGACGAACCTTACTAATTGGCTGTGTCGGGTGGTGGCGGGTTTAGCGACACGTTTACACTTACGCGATCCAACCCGGCAAAAAGACCTTTACTGTGAATAACATTGATACCGAGTGGCCACCGTTCTCGCCCCCGCAGCGGGACAGCTGAGCCAGTCGGCGCACCTCTCCCTGCAGCTGCCGTACGCCGTTCTGGGCCTGGGCCGCAGCGCCAACTTCATCGACCGCCTCGCCGTCGGCATCCCCCGCCCGCCCGGGCAGCAGGTGGGTAGAAAACAAAGCTTCCCCCCGCCCCCTGATCCCAGGCCATCGATAACATTAGGGGCGAGTAATATCTGAACTTGTCCTCTACCTTCTTCGGTTGAATTAAATGAGCATGCCGTGCGAATATCAGTATCGGGGAGTCACGCATGCCACCTCTCACACAGCACCTGTCCCCAAGAGCGAATAGACTCGGCGGTGAATCTTGCGTGCACGCAGAGGCAGGCGACAACGTCGGGTTCAGACAATTGAGCTCTGGCCTGTGACCAAATCACCCGGAATGCACCCGGGATGTCATTGGAATCTACTCGGAAGGCGCCACCACCTGGGCCCCCCCCCACCCCCAACAACGCATCGGAGCGTGCCCACAGCGTGCCGCGCGAGTGAGGCTCCCGCATGCCGCCACACAACCGCGCGATCGCCGCTCGTCAAGTCGGCCCCGCACGCCAAGACACCGGCACTCGGCCATTTGCAGGATTTGCTTCATTGACGCACGAAAGGAAATCGTTCATATCGGATACCGCCGCAATTACATTTTAAATGGAGCCTTTTTTTCCACGTGCGCGCTGCACTACAAACCGAGCTACCCGAGTTCGATTCCCGCTCACAGCCACCACCACCAGTGACAGTTATCTGAACCGGTCCTTGGCCTCCCCGAAGTCGACTCAAATGAATATCTGGTGCGGTGCGTAAACATCACCACTAAGGAGACAAAGGCAGCCGGGCGGGCTGCCGGCCACCCATCCCCTTGAGTGCCGTTGCAGCCGGAATGCACCCAATGTCATCAGAGCTGCTCAGAAGCTAAGCAGGTTTTGAGCCTGGATAGTCCTTGGATGGATGACCACCATGCACAAACATAACTGTAATAAACTATTAAAAAAATTATTTATCAGGTAAGTCACTGAGCTACATCGCTCTTTTTCAGAAACGACCTGGCTATCAAAAATTATAGATCAACGAAGTGGCTTATCACATGGAAACATATTTAAATCAGCCAGATACTCTCAGGGCATGTTTATAAATGTGGAGAGAAAAACCGGAGGATCCAGAGAAAAATTCACGTGACCACGAGGATAAAATGTAAGCTCCAAATATACATGCGTCGGGGCCGGAATCGGACCCACTCCTGCATACCAGGCGAGGTAGTTAACATCTCGCCACCGCAGGGCCCACCCATCATATATGCCATTTAACCGCCCTGAGGTTACCCTAGACACACACATGCGGCATGACAATGGTGGCTTGTAGGGCCGTGGGAAAGACGTGTGTATTCTCGTTTGAGGACGTTTGCCTGGGACCTGCTTTGTGCTGCTGCCCCTTTGTGTGGGTGAGCGTCTCAAATCGCCTCTCCACTCCCTTTGACCGTTAAATATGAAGTGTGTTCCTCCCCCTGGCCTCTGCACTAACCCTCCCTACGCAACCCCCCCCCAAACCCCCACACTGCCCCGTCGCCCACCCCTCCCCCACGTCCCCCCCCCCGCGTGCTCTGAGTCAAGCCAAAATTGCCTGTGGCACAGAATCGATGCTGCTTCCTTTTCTTAGCGGCAGGGGATGCGTTGTGCGAGCACGCTAAAAATACACGGCCCGCCCTGATGAGTTCCCTAACTGTGCATAGCTGCCACCGACCGACGTGATTGCGGACTAAAACGGGCCATCTTTAAAGGAGAGAGGGCAGCTTATAAGATGGGGAGGGGGGGGGGACACCGTGTTTAACGTTATGCTTTGAGTAAACTATTTCTCAATTCAGACTTGGCTTCAGAACTTAATACGCTTCGAAGCGTAGTGTTCTGATGTGTATTCGGGTTGTGCCATATGCCCTTCGGCATCAACGATGAGCGGTCCACGTACCATGGACCGGCTTAAAAGTGTGTACGTGTGAGAGAATTATCGACGACTTATCCACATAATGCGCCGGTGATATCCCAACGTTACGTTTAGGCTAATTGCATGAATTAAACCGATAAAAAAAAATATCTTCACATTTTTGTGCCGACCAATGTTTAATATTATGAAATGGCGACAATTCATGGAATATCTGTGGGGATTAACTCCTATATACCAAATAAGAAGTACTGCTCATACTAAATTAATCTCTATTTGTATCACCTGACGTGGAAACGGTCGTTTAAACATCTCCAATTATTTTAATTTGCACCAGACATAATTTTTACTTACATTTATTGAAAAGTTGAAGTTTGCATTTGTTTCACTTTGGGTTCATGGTTACTGCTAGATCAGTTAAGTTTCATGGCAGCCCTAACTTTAACGACAACAGCAGCAGCAACATAGCTTGCTCGGTCTAAAGACACAGCCCTTTTGCCAATTCCTAGGGTCCTTGGTTCAACGGGCGTCTCATTTGGTTTTGCTTTCTTGACCACGTCAGCACGTGTTGCCGTATAGTGAACAGGTTGGTGCCTCGTGGCTGCCCATTGAAATAGTAATGGGGGCTGGAGTTTTACAAATTTCATCTTGGCAGCTGAAACGTAAATTCATCATGGCAAGGCTTTTCCTTCTTGACACTGCGTTCTTAAAAGTTGCACGGTCCACTTTTGTCGCAGCAGCGACATAAAAAAACATATCGAGGACCTTTGAATTTCTCATTTGCAAGGTTGCATATGTTTAAATTTAAAATAGGAAAATAAACATTTAGCTTTAACACCTTTAAAACCGCAATTGATGGCCACATTAAGTGGCCTTTTTTGCGATTTGGACATGAGCCAGGTATTAAGGTTGATTCCGTTTGCGTAAATAAAATTGCATTTGATTGTGTAATAATCTGCATGCCGCTGATGGTTCCTTTTAATAGGAGAGTTAGCGCGCTAATGAATCCCAGAGACGCATCCACCCACACTGGGGGGACCACTTCTCCACGCACCCTGCCTACTAATGCGTCCCTTCACCTCTTTGTCTCGCGCCACGCATTGTACTTACCAACGCACTCACCAGCGCGGGTATGAAGGGGGGGAACGTTTGCAACCGGTGTCGTGGGGTAAATATATATGAAACTGCGCTTTGACACCTTTTGAACTGAAGTGGCCGACCAGGGCAGGTTTCAGTGTGAAATACGTGCCTGGTTTATTGCATCTACTGCTGGATGAAGAAGACCCCGTGCCATTTCACCATTCAGCACGGATTGATGAAATGAGTGCCCGGGACGAATTTCACACGCACGACCCACACGACATGCACAACGCGTGCGCGCACGCACACACGACATGCACAACATGTGCGCACACACACACGTATATACGCACCACTTGTGATTGGCCATGGCCGGGAATCAAGCTCGGGTATGGAGGTTGCACTTGAAGAAATTTGTTGTGCACTGCACTAAGATCCCAGCAACATGTGAGATGCCTGGTCATGGACAACCAACCCCTAGATGAACTCAACATAAACCGAATGGCTGCTATGATCCAGTCAACATCAGTGTATGGAAACCACAGACACCCCCACCCCTCCCCCTTTATAGGGCATTAAATTCATATTATTATTAGGGTAGGCATAATCTTAACAGTGCTTGCCACGGCAGTCTAGAAGACTCTGGTTATCTTTGTTTTTGTGCCCCTATATGTGTATATGCATACGGTGCACATCTCCGTTGCACGTGCTTGTATGTAACTAGGCAGGTGTGTGTACACCGTTGGGTGTGATTACTGTGTCTCCGCTGTGCGTGTTTTATACGTATGGAGAGGTGGCCAAGAACGTTTTGTTAGCAGGGTAACTGGAATAAATCCACAACAACCGAATGCTAGGCTTGCTCCGAATACCCGCCAATGTTCTCATCACGTGCGGGATTCGAAAAAAAAAGATTTCATATTTGGGAGTTGAGGTATTAAACAGTGAGGCACTGTAATAAGTGCGAGTGTGTGTGTACCTTTAATATCCTCTTAAAATAAATGTATCAATGCAGACCATAAAACCGCGGTATTGGTTTTGAAATTCAATCAGAAGGGGAGACTTTCACAAATCTGGTCCGTATCCCGTGGCTTATGGAATATGGCATCGTGCATCTCGAATCCTGGAGAAAATGCCCATGGCAGAGCTGCCTCCGGTGAGGTGTTTACCGTCATTTCAACACCAGACTTTATACTAAAATGTAACAACAAACGGTAGGCGTGTGTGCTGTATCACTCTAGTGTGTCCCCCCCCCTCCCACTCAGTCTGAGGAATATCATGTGTACAAAGAAAAACAAATTGTGACAAGCATACTGTCCGAATTTCTCTCTGAAAGGTACATCATGGCATTGGTCTGACAGCACGGGAGTGTTTTAAAAGTTGCTGCATGGAGAGACATAGCAGCCAACAGCAGGATTATTGCCTCCCAAAAATCGAGGCACATTTTCGGGTACTATTGACGCACACACAGAGGCAAAGGTTTCCATCGTGCGATGCACTTTTCACGAGGGAGACCCATTTTCCTGCATCGAGGAATGATGTGGCCATAAACAGTCGGCTAGGTGTTCTGGCAGCCAATCCGTCTTCCTTTCCGTAATCCTGAGTGTAATACATGAAGCATCACAATATGGACCTTTACACACCTTGAAAGAAAATGGTTAGTGGAGTACAATATGTGGACATTTTGGGTTATACAATCATCTGTTTTTTGTATAAACCAAGCATCCTACATTTCACAGCCATGACTCACGACATGGGGGGGGGGGCGGCGATATCTGAACTGGTCGTGGGCCCTTCAGTGTGGTGAAGTATGGTGAAAGAAAGAAAACCCGTGGCCGTCACTTGAGCGTGAAGGCCTCCTTTGCAGGCTTTATGTGATCACAGTGTATAATTTACAACCGTTTTATATACCCTTCATTGTAACATTGGCCGCAGCCTGCCATCTAAATAAAATGAAAATTGAATTACATGAGATCATAAATATGAAGGGTATATTAAAGCCTTAATAACTAACTTAGTCTTAAGCCTGGATTTAAAAACAGCGATAAGATGCGGGGTATTCTAATGTGAACGCCAAGTGCATTGCCAGGTCCATCTGAGGCTCATCCTAAGCACAGCGCATTATACTGGAAAGCTCCTCCAGGTCTTCCAAGGCTTGCCACTCCAAAGACGCCCACTGTCCCGTAAGCCCCCTGGGATTGTGGGAGAGAACCCGTCTCATGGAGCTGTGCCCCGGATGGGCTTTCACTCCTGTAGCCGGCCCAAACACAGTGATCTCAACTTGGAGAGAGCGAGAGATGGACCCGTTAAATGCCCGTCTCCCAAGGTCCGTCCTCTCTTTGAGGTAGCTGTCCTGAGAAATCTGCAAATCTTATCCACAACATGAAAAGCCCGATCTTTTGAGATATTTTTCCTTCCATGATAGAACCTGAATTTGTTTTGGTGCCTCAGAGTTGGCAATGCTACTGACAGTTAACATTTCAAAATAATTCTGAAAATACATATGGGGTGTTATTTTGAAGGTTGCTGTTCATAGTTATAGAAAATATAGCTTATTTGTAGAATATATCAATAATTTAACACCCACACAAAAATAAACACACCATCACCACCACCATACGAGCGTGGATGAAAAACTTATTCCTTCTAAATACATCTGACACCGCGGTCTTTTATAAGGATTTCTCCCTTATCACGCATAGCAGAAGTAATAATTTCCATCTGAATTATAGTTCTAGTTGGTCGACATACTATGCACCTGTATAAAGCCACTTCATGATGATGTTAATGATAGCTCACGCCTTTAAAGAGTCTGAAATGTGGGTCCAAAATCGTTGAACTTGCCATCTGCGTCTTTGGCCGGCAGACTTCATAAGGTCCCGGGTTCCGCATTGTGGCCTGTTTCATTCTCTTTTGCTGAAGGTTATCAGTCACTCGTTATTTCCATCGTGCCTGCAGAAAGGTGTGTGTGTGTGTCTGCATCTATGTGTGCCTGTGTACGTTTGTCTCCCAATGTGCACTTTTCGGCAAAGACAGATGTGGTGTACTTTGCAATGTGCTCACTCAAACGAAACGCCACACGCAGAGAACTAAATTGGATCAAGCTAAGGGAAGCGTTCAATGTCCAGAAGGTTTAAGCTCCACAAAACCGTCCCTTATGTTGCCTGTCTTGTTCTCAGAGTTACGTTCAAATTCATTTGAACATTCTTATCCAACAATATGCAAGAGGGCACATTTTTTTTTTATTTCAGACCCTTTCAGACAATAATCCTTTAAGGAAAATATTAAAGTCATAGTCAGTGAATATTATGACATTCCTTTGGGGAGCGGTGGTATAATGGTTAGCGCACTGTGCTACCAACCCGGCCACCCGAGTTAAATTCCTGCTCACGGCCAACACCAGCGACTATTATCTGAACTAGTCCTCGGCCTCCCCTAGGTTGACTCAGCCTCAAATGAGTACCTGGTGTGGTGTGTAAAACATCACGACTGGGGAGATAAAGGTCGTGGTGCTGGCCACCCACTTCCTCGTGTACTTTGCCGGACTTCATGGGTGCTCGCTAACAGCACTTGCCCCAAAAAGTCTGTAAAGGCTATACGGGGGATCTTTGGTTTTTTTTGCTTGTATACACATATAGCCCAGTAATGTCTAAAGACACCAGACTCTCAATCCAGAGGTTTTGGATTCAATCCCCTTGAGGTGATTGACATCTCAACCCTTCACTCCGTTGTCGACAACCGGCACCAGGCACAGCAGGTGAGGGTAGAGGGTGAGGGCATTTTTCGCACATTCCCCTAAATGGGCAAATATAAACATTACGGCAAAGTAAGGTGATTCCACATCTTCCTCTGTTACGAAGTCGCCCTCGCGGCAAAATCTTTTTTCCCGGTTTGTTGTATTCGTGTCTCACGAAATGCGGTGCTTTTTTCGCCTTCCGCAAATCAGAGATATTGTGTCCGTTTTGAGGTGAAATTGGAGTTATTCCATTAGCTTTGCATCAGCGAATTTCCACCGTGGTTTTCCTTCCACCCGTCCAGCAGAACCTTCGCACCCCACAAGCCCATCTTTGCTCGGCTCTTCCACGTAACCGACTGTCCTCATCAAAGCAGGCCGAGCGCCAAAAAAAAAAACCTCATTGAATTTGGAAACATTTCTTTTGGCGATACTTGCGTCGGCAGTGGTGACAAAAGAAAAGGACTCGACGCACTCGTCAAAAACATGACGACAAATATCGTCACCTTTCTTTCACTTCTTCTTTCCAACAATTAAGTGGCATCTTGATAAGAGGGCGTTGCGTGCATGCTGACACGGATTTTTTTTGCAAGAGCCGGGCTATTGCTCTGAATTCAAGGTGCATGTCAAGAAAGCTTTGCCTTAACCCTGTCCGCAACCCCACGCATGCAAAACCCGCGTGCCGACAGCGACTTCCCACCGTTATCTTTTTAAAGTCAATCTCTCTCCCATATTGTTATATTTATTTCTCTCTCGCCTCCACGGTCGCTCTTCCCCCTCCCGCGTGTCCCTCCGCCTCCCCCCCCCCCCCCCACCGCTTCCTTTCCCTCTGGGCGCCCGTAGAGCACAGGCAATTTAGATGCACTTACGAAGCAAACACGGCTAAATTGTACACACCGTGATCGCCATAATGACGGTTTAATGTGTTGTCTGCTGTGCCTGCGCTCTGCGGCAAGTATAGCCGGTATTATTGAAGCCCCACAGCAACGCGTAAAGGTTTCTCGCTCATGTGGAAAAAAATCTCCTAAATTGTACGCGGATGCCGGGGGTGTTCCGTTGTGAGCGTGTTAAGCGAATTCACGTGGGAGCAGGACTGTGCTGCTTGCCGCTTCTCTGCGTGCTGTCGACGCACGACTAAGCCGGACTCGCACCTTTGCAGTCTGCGATTGGGTCGAATCGCGAGGTTGTTGTGTGCATTTTACGACCACTGTTTCAGGCTTTGGCAGCCATTCCATAATTACTCTGCCTGATTAAATTTGATTAATACCTAGAAACACCCATCATGCTTGTTCCATCCCCATGGAATGAATTTAAATGCGATAAGCCGTCATAAGCTAGGTGTTAATGGCACACACGGTAGCTTTTCATTAATTCTAATTGCCTGTATGCTAGTTGTTCCGTTTAAAATACCTGCTGTTAAATAGTTAATTAAGCTGAAGAGCGTGGACAGCCGGCAGTGAGAAAATGTCGAGCTCACGAATTACTTTTTGTTCCCAATGATCCCTCCACGGCGTGTGTGTGCTTTGGACAGGAGCGGCGGCGGCAGGAGTGGACGTCGATCATCCCCAACTCGCAGCTCATCGTCATCCCCTTCCCTAACGACAAGCCCAGGAGGTGAGCTCCGACCAGCGCGGAAGCCCAAATCCGCGGACTTGTGTCCGTGCATTCGTGCGTCCGTTCGCTCGCACGTTGGCTACCTTCGTTTAGAACCCGGGGCGAGTGACACCTTGCGCTGAGTTGAGGGCGTTTAGCAAGGGCGGTGAAGGCGAAAGGAAAAGGCACGGCGTTGCAAGCACTTGCTCACGGACACTGCTGCAGGTATCTGTAGAGGGCACCTCTGGAGGGTATTTGAGTTTCTCTTCCACACTGGCCAGATATCTTAAAGGAGAGGTGAGTACCCACACTTTAGCCCACCACACACAACCCGCCGGTCAGCTAACTGTGGTGTACCCATTTATACTGCTTCACGCATTCATGATTGGGAGGTAATGTCGCTATAATGGGATGGTCACTGATGCAGTTCTTGGCCCGCTACGCGATGCACCTGGCAACCCGGGTTTGATTCCCACCCATGGCTACCATCAGTGCCGAGTGAACCAGTAGTATTGAGCCCCCACCATCGCCCACGCACAGCAACCGGCGCGGTGAGGTATGGTCAGCCAACACCATTTATAGAGCTGTGTGGGCAGAGCAGGGGTGAGGGGGATTTAAGATCGAAACCGAGGCGTTAGTCCTCTCGGATTGCAAAGTCCAGTGTGCAAACCATTACGAACGACCACGAGAGATGTGGAGAGAAATAATACAGAGTTGACTCTCAGCGATAAAAGCCAATGCGGCTCAAATGAGTTGCGGTGCAGAGGTGTGAACGTTGCAAATTCCTACGGCGGAGGCGAGCCTACCCCAAAGACAACAACCTGTGCGGCCATCCCACAAAGCAGACCTCATTTTTATCGCCCCCCCCCCTCTCCCCCAAAGGGAAAAAGTTACGAGTAAACTCCCCGCCCAGGATTTGAACTCGTGAATGCGATTGCAAAGATGCACTTTCTAATCGTGGCGCCGCTGCTGTCCAGATGAATTAAAATACGCGCCTGAAATATGCTGACGTTTATTGTTGCTGTAATGAAGCCTAACAAATAGCCAATTTTTTTTCCCCCCGAAAATGTTTTGTTCATTAACAAAACGATTTTAGGTACACAACACGGACAATATGAAAGGGGTTCGGACACCAGCACAAACACAGATTACGAATCGCAGTGCAAAGACCATCTTTCTAAACTGCATATTTAAATCAACTCTACATCCCCTGGTATCTTCCTAAGTAAGCTCTCATACTCGTGTAGAGAAAGAAGAGGGAGGAGGGAGTACCTAAACGTCCCAATGAATGCTCTTAAGAATCAATGCTCACATAAAAATAGCCATTTTTAAAGCCTGTTGATTATAGTGCCGGCCTATCCGCACACGCTTGAAAAAGTGCGCGCGGATAGGCACACGTGTAAAATACACATAAAAGCTAAATGATTCCGCTTTTAAAAATTCAACAGAAATTGAAAAATTCACATGGACTAGCTGCTGAATACTCCAGAGAATGTAAGTGCTTTTTGCACGCAATATTAGACAATAATCTGCACAATACATAATCCTTTTCAAGTGCATTATTGAGTGCATGAAATCCCATGTGTATAGATTTGTATCTAGCCAATGCAGCAGCAGTCATTCAGCGATAATTGTACAGCCTTTAAGCTTCTATTGTGGAGTGTCGTCCTGCTCAACGCATGGTGTGCGGCCATAGACTTGCACGCTCTGTACGAAATACATTGTTTGAACATGTGCCGTACAGTCATCCCAATATTACCATTAAAATTGTGGATCATGTGGAATGGTGAGTGGCGGTGCAGTGCTTTTATGTGCTGCGCGATAAATCCTTAGTTTGATCCACGGCCAGCACCGGTGATGATATCAGAATCAGTCCTGCCTTCCCCCTCATCATCAAGTCACACTGACCAGCTTGGTGAAGTATGGTCCACTAACATGGCACAGGGGGGAGGCTTCCATCCAGTGGTGGATTGAGAATGGCTGTTGATGATTTTCAAAGCAGCAGCATCATCATCAATCAGAATAGGTGGACATTATTTCTTTCACACCTATGTTTCAGATTTACAAGGTGCCTCCGTTGTTTGAGCACCTCCAAATTGGAGCAGAGACTAAATGCATTCACACCAAACACCGCCATGGGGGGGGGGGGAGGGAAGGTGAGGGGGGGGGGGCTGTGACCCGCACAAAGCCGCAATCGTCTCCGCGTACGAGCGACACGCGGGCGGGGAACCTCGGTCCGCTCGCCCTCGTCACCGCTGCCCTCCCGGCGCACGGCCATGCCGGAGCGCTCGCCGCTCTGTCGGCGGGGAGGAAGCGTGGGGGGAGAGCGGGAGCGGCCGTGGCTGCGCGTGGGCACTCTCCCTCCCTCCCTTGCACCTTTCCTCCTCCCTCTCTGTCTCTCCCTCTCTCCACTGAATCGATAGAGCGGCCGCACCCGCGGCCGTTTGGCAGTCCGTGCGCACACGCCACCCTCGCAGCGTCAGCGTCGGCCTAGCGCGCTCCAACAGAGCCCCTCTTTGTTCCAATTTCTTCCTTTCTGCCGCTCCGTGCCTTTTTCTTTTTCTGGCTGGCTAAGGTACGCTCTCCAGCACCACCGAGAGACGGATGCGAAATGAGACCGAAACTGTTGACTGGTTGGAAGTCGGCAAAACACAACTCGCTCACAAGAATCGCCGCGCATTTTTGAGCAAATGAAAAATTACAGCAGTTTTTTTTTTTTAACCCAGATTTCTTACTCAGCCTTCAACTTGAAGTGGTGTGCATCACTGCTATTAACACGGTTGGCTACGTACGGTGCGAAAGAAGTTCGACATACATACAGCACCTCCGATTAACACGGTTGTCTACGTACGGTGCAAAAGAAGTTCAACAAACATACATACTTGGAGGGTCATTGCTTTAAATCTTACAGGGTGATGTGAAATGGGCGCGATACTGAACGTTAAGAGGGACTGTCCTCTACGCGTGGCTCTTCCCTTTTGGACTCCCGTAATTGTGGGATGGATCTGTCGACGGTGTATGACAGTCGACCTTGCCACTCTGTCTCTCCGGCCCCACTCGATTTAGCCTGACCCCTTTTGCACTCCCTTTGCACATCTGTCCACACTCGTTCCCCTTCAGCCGTTTCACCGACTGACACCGCCACCCGGGAACTCACGTGCGAGCCTCGGCCCCTTTATTTTTCATAAAGTTTTCATTTTTCCCGTTTTTTTCCACATTTTCTCTTTCACTCTCTCACTCTCTCTCTCGCTCACTCGCTCACTCGCTCACTCTCCTGTTCCTTTCTGTGCCTTCATGTTCTACGCGTAGCGATTCACACCTGTGGTTTGAGGAATTGTTACGGTTTGCGGTCATGGTTTGACTTAAGAATCGGTCAATTCCTGCCTCATTTTTTCCGTCTCATCCAACCATTTGCGTGTAATCGTCATACATTGGTGAATAATATGTTTGTGCGTGCACGATTGTACGCACTTGCCAAGTAATACACCAACATCTATTTTAACCGATATATCGTTATATGCGCGACATTTGAATGTATGTGTCTATGTAACAGAGACACAGATCCCCCTCATAGCCTGCTGTTCGCGAGCACTTATGAAGGCTGACACTGTACACAAGGGGGTGGTTGGTCAGCACCATGCCCGACCACCTTTGTCTCCCCAGTGGCGATGTTTACACACAGCTCCAGGTACTACCTAGCGGAGGCGCAGGACTGGTACAGATAATCGTCACTGGTGTTGGCCGTGAATGGGAATCGAACTTGGGTCACCTGGTTCGTAGCGCAGCGCGCTAACCGCTGCACCGCCACTCCCGACACGCACGCGCGCACACACACACAGAATGGGGAAATAGCGGTTAGCGCACTTTGCTATTGCCGTCGCAACACGGGCTTAATTCATACCTGCGAAACAATACCGGTAGCAATCGGTGTCTGGACCTGCCGTTGGCCTCCATTCATCTCGACCCAAAAAATAAGTACCCGACGCGCTGCGATTAGCATCAGCACGAGGGAGGAATAATGCGACTGAGCCAGATGCGCTCGCCAAAACACCCGCTTTTGTGCTCTGCTGGGCATCCGATGTGCTCACTCACCACTGCATTTGCCAAAAAAATAAAGGCTAAATGAAGGATATTTTACCTCCCCACAATTCCTGCCTCCCTCTCTCTCTCTCCGCCGTTTCCATCACCGCCGTGGGAAAGCAACTTCTTACACAATTCTCGACGGGGGTTGTCATTGTGTCACAAATGTGTTACGTAAAACACGTCGTGTGTTCGGCATCACATTGATCGCTGCCTCCGTGTCTTGTAAATAAACCGAGGCAAGAGGCCTGTGCTCAATTACCCCCCCCCCCCCCCGCTCGCCCGCACATGGCTGAGCGCACAGAAGATGTTTAAGTGTGACAAACTAGGCTTACTCTTTCATTCTAATCCTAATGTGGAACCTGCAGCTTTAAAACGAGAGCCACCATCGCTACTCAAGACCCCGGTGGCCACCGGATATTAATTTGCTTTCTGCAATTCTGGATTGAAAAACCTTTCCCATGAAGTCAGTGAATGAGAAAAACGGTCAAGTTCAATGGGCTATATCCTGACCGAAGACATTTCCTACAAATGCAGCGGTTTCTTTTTATTTACACGTAGATATTTCCCTGCAAAATAACAAACTGCTGATAATGTCATAATGAATAAAGACACGACAAATTAAAACAACATTTTAGAGCATCAGCCCGTAGGCCTTCCTTTTACTCCAGCATCAGCAGCAGCAAACTCTGGAATAGAGTCGACCAAATTCAATGATAAATCAAATCAGAGCAATATTGTATAATGGCTATCATGGTGGATTGTGTGTGATAAAAGAATGAAAATAGACACTAATTTCAATTGAAGCGCTGATTGGTACCTCTTGAAGGGACACGTGAACGTACCACATAGCTCGGCTGAGCTGAATTATTTCGTTAGACACGGGTAATTGTTGAACACAGAAGTGCGTCTGTGTGGTCGGCCCAAAATAGCATTCAGCT